CCTTGTGACTACCCCAATAGGGCCCCAGCCACAGCCTGAGTGAGACGAGAGTGTTTGGAGGAGGGAGAACGGAGCCAGATGACAGATGGGTTTCACGGTGAACGAAGAAGTGAGTTCCTAGACCCCAGCCAGCACTCCTCTCATGCTCTTGGGCTGAGCACTACGATCGCCCGCAGCCCATACTAACACGCTAGGCCTCCACGCTGGGCCAGTTAAATCAGAATTTTTGCCAGTTGGGACCCAGGCAGCAGAATGTTATAAACGCTTCCTAGGTGATTTTAGTGTATAGCTGGTGTTGAGAAATATTGATCTAGGCACTCAGGGTACCTTAGTGGGTCCACAGGTATTGTAATTATTGTGCACTAAATTGAACAACAACCATAAAATCAGGATGTAGCAACAGAAAGAAGTCAGATAGGTATGTAGGGGTGAAACTGAGTCAAAACTGAACATTTTAGAAAAGATTTTATTTATTTTTAGAGAGAAGGGAAGGGAAGAAGGAGAGGGAGAGAAAGATTGATGTGTGAGAGAAACATCAGTTGTCTCTCACATGCCCCCAACTGGGGATCCCGCCGGCAACCCAGGCGGGTGCCCTGACCAGGACCTTTCGAATCGCAGGCCAGTGTTCAGTCCACTGAGCCACACCAGCCCAGGCAAAGCTGAACGTTTTTTAAAACACCTATACATTTCTAAGAGAGATTAAGGATACTTCTTCCTTCGAAAGATCTTTAGATTAGGTAGAATCAAGGAAGCAACATGTTTTTCTTAGTGTTGGGGGTTTTGTATAGAAATTTTTAAACATCTGGTGAGATTTAGGAGATTTTTGAAGAGCCAGAATAGCTTGGTCAGAATAAATATTTTCCCTTGGCATGTAGTTGTGGCATGTAAGTGGAAAAACAGATACAGATCTTAGTATGCATTTTTGGCCATAAATATATAAAAACAAAGAAACATGGAAAATGCCCTGATTAAATTTTGTGAATCAAAAAACTAAATTCTATATATGAGGATGGTTTATATTTTGAAAATATAACTGCACTTATAGAAAAACATAAAAGGACAATTATAAAAAAACCAAACATTTACCCTTCACTGTTGGGAATAAGGATGGCCTTTTACATGTTCAAATCTATGATTTTTAAAAAATGATGGTGTTTTTTTTTGAATTGGAAAAGAAAACATGTGAAACACTCAGAACAAAAACCATGAGAAGGAAATAGAGCAAAATATAATCAGAGCTGTATTTGGTGAGATGGGCTCATGAGTATTCTCTTCTTTTAATTACTTTTCCTGTTGAACATTTTGCTATATAAGGATATACTTCTTTTTATAATTGGAATAAAATAAACTCTATTTAGAAATAAAGATCAAATCCTGTCTCTTTGTCATGATTTCATTATCTGGCAAAGAGAGTTGGGTGGAGCATTCACACTTTAAAGTCCAGGAATCAATTAGTTTAGGGGCTGAGAAACTTGTTCCACAAAGGGCCCGATAGTGAATATTTTAGGTCTTGTGGGTCTACAGTCTCTATTGCCACCCTCAGCCCCGCCACCACAGAACGAAAGATGTGAGCAATAATTAAATGAATGAGAGTGGCTGTGTTAAAAAAATCCCTTTTTTATGGATAATAACCTTTGAATTTAATATACTTACCATGCATGTCACCAAATATTCTTCTTCCTTTGATAGCCCCAGCCCCCAACCACTTAAAAATGTATTGTAAAACCACCCTCAGCAATGAAGGAACTAGGGTGTACACAGAATACTGTAGGGCCACACAGGAGACAGAGTAACTGTGCTCATGGAACATCAGTTGATTGAGGACATTGTTAAGAAACCATCTGGTAGGGAGATGCATTAGAGAGCTGTCATGCAACAAATAAGCATTGCAGGAGACAAGCAGTTTAAAATACAGTAGCTTAAGTCCCTAGGTGATAGTAATGAGAAATTACCCTTGTGGGAATCACAAACTTTCTAAGAGTGAAGAACTCCAGAGAAAAGGCTTTATTAAAAAAAGTAGTGCTGAAGAAAACCACCACCACGGGCTGAAGGCAGCCACTTCTCCCATGGTGTACACCGGTGCTCCTGGTCTTCACCCCACGAAACCTCTCCTGGATTACTTTCTCTCATTGCAGTAAAAATGCTTGGTGAGTGAAATCACAAGCAGATGTTTCACAGTCAACATAAAATGTAGAAAATAACTGGAAGACCTGTTTTTAAATTATGCAGAAAGCAAACAAATTAATGAAATTAGTACTGCCTTGGGACAATTTGTGTATTATGAAATGCCAGTGTTTATCAGGCTAGCAGCTAAATATGTGTCTTCCTTTAACTTAATAGGTACATATTTTCTTTTAAATCCATCCTTAATTCCCCACACAGTAGATAACTAACTTCATAATTTTGCTGAGTACCCAGAGAGGCTCTTTTTAAAATAAACATGGAAATGCATGAATGGACGAGCCCATGCCATACAAACTATCCAAGTTCTAACCCAGAGTTCCTAAATGCCCTGGAGGTCAGAGGAGGTCAGAGTAAGGGCCAGAATTAAAGGCCAGGTGGCTCTGTTTCTTCTTGAATTACCTTATCTCTGTGTAATTCTAGTTACAAGCAGCAACCCTAGATTCTGGGTACCTCTCAAAAGTGGGGTGCCTTGGGTTCCACCTAAAAGCGTTAAAGAAAAGTAAGCTTTCACCATCTTTATGCCTAAATTTCTAAACCTGACAACCTTGCCGGGAAAATGCAGAGTTAAGGAAGTGGAGGGCTATTTTTCACACCCATTCTGAAAACACGGCATACTATTTTTGAAGAATGGCAGGTGTTCATGTGTTACATTACAGAAACCTGAACAGGGAGGGTTAATCAAATACCGTTTGGACTTAAAAGTAGCTTAAAACCTCTTCTAACCAGCTCAGTTTTAGTGTAGTTCAAATGCAGCAATCTGCATTCTGGACTCAATGCAAGATGGGCTTCTATGAATTTTGGGTATTAACTCCTTATCAGATGTATTGGCAAATATGCTCTCCCATTCTTAGTGTTGAGAGTTTTGTATAGAAATTTTTATTCTATACAAGTGGGCTTTTTATTTTGTTTCTGATTTCCTTTACTATGCAAAAACTTTTTAGTTTGATGTAGTCCCATTTGTTTATTCTTCTTTGTTTCTCTTGCCTGAAGAGCTATATCAGGTGAAATATTGCTACAAGCAATGTCTGAGATTTTACTGCCTATGTTTTCTACCAGGATTTTTATGGTTTTGGGTTTAAGTCTTTAATCCATTTTTGGTTCTTTCATTATGTGTACTGTAAGAAGGTGGTCTAGTTTCATTTTTTCTGCACATATCTGTCCAATTTTCCCAACGCCATTTACTGAATAAGCTATCTTTAGCCCACCGTATGTGCTTGCTTCCTCTGCTGAATATTGAGTATAAAGGTGTTGGTTTATTTCTGGGCTCTCTATTTGGTTCCATTGATCTATGTGTCTACTTTTAGGCCAGTTCCATGCTGTTCTGATTATTATGGCCTCATAGTATAGTTTGGTATTAGGTAGCATGATGTCATTTTGTTCTTTCTCAGGATCTCTATTGCTCTGCAGGGCCTTTTGTGGTTCCACAATGAAGTGTCACCTTATACTGTCAGGTTGGCTCTCATCAGTAAATCAACAAACAAGTGCTGGGAGGATGCGGAAAAAGAGGAACCCTTTTGCACTGTTGGTGGGAATGCAGACTGGAGCAGCCACTGCAGGAAGCAGCATGGAGATACCTCAAAAAAGGATCTGCCTTTTGACCCAGTGATCCCACTTCTGGGCATATACCCAAAGAAACCCCAAACACTAATTGGAAAGAACATAAGCACCCTTATGTTCATTGCAGCGTTACTTACAATCACCAAGATATGGAAGCAGCCCAAGTGTCTGTCCATTAGTAGATAAGTGGATAAAACAAGGATGAGACACTTACACAATGGAATACTACTCAGCCATAAAAAGAAGAAATTTTTACTCTTTTTGACTGTATGGATGGACCTGGAGAACATTATGCTAAGTGAAACAAGCCAGTCAGAGAAAGACAAATACCGTATGATTTCACTCACAGGGGAATCTAATGAACAAACTAAACAAGCAAAATAGAAACAGACTCATAGATGGAGAACAGGATGACAGCTAAGGGGGGGAAGGGGCTGTTAGTGGGCGGATGGATCCAGCAAAAAAGAAAAAGGACCCCTGGGCATGGACAACAGCGTGGTGACTAGAGGGGGTGGAGAGGGGTATGAGGGGGATTAAGTGGTACTGGAAAATATTCAATAAAGAATAAAATAATTAAAAAAAAATTGGCCTTCTAGCTGCAGTCCCAATTTCAGGACTTCATCACGCAAACACCTCCCATTTAAAAAAAATACTGCAGTTTTCCGGTCACGGCACATGCCTGAGTTGCTGCGGGCCAGGTTCCCTGGGGGGGGCGGGGATGTGAGAGACAGCCAATGTTTCCCTCTCTTCCCCTTTCTAAGAATAAATAAAAATTTATAAAAATACTGCAGTTTTGTAGTCTTAAACTACACGTCCGTGGTATGGTTAAAATATCGCTCCTAGAGGAGGGTCTTCCAACATGCAATCTAAAGTTAAGCAGCAAGGGGTCAGTCGGAGATGGCCAGTTTCGCAAAGCCTGAGTTTTTTAATCCAGTATTCTTCCGGTATCTTAAAAAAATTTCAGATAAAAAAGAAGCGTCATTTGTCTTAGGGCATTTTCACGCGAGAAAGAACGACGAACCGAACTCTTCCGGCAGAGGAAGCGCAAACGTCATCAACTGCCGCCCCACCAGCGCCGGTACGTGACAGCGCGCCCACGCCCGCGCCGGCCCCTTGGCCCCGCCCACCGCGGTGGAGGGCCGCTGGGACGGTCGCCGGACCGGGGCCTCTGGCCCCGTGAAAACTTCCGTCGTGGGACCCAAAGGGGAGGGCCATGGGCGGTCTCGGAAGTGACGCAGAGGCGCACCCTCCATTTTGTAGAACGCTAGAGCAGCTAAGTGCGTCAGTTGTGGAGAGACATAGACGAGTTGAGTCCTGGTCTGTGGGGAGGTAGACGGCTCCGTCGCAGACTACGGACCTCTCTTGGGTCTCTGCAGCCAAAGATCCTGTCCGGTAGGTGAGTGGCTCACTTTGAGGGAATGGCTTCTCGGATCGAGGCTTCTTCATGGCCACTCAGATCGCGAGTGGTCAAGGCTGCTCTCTTTGCGGAGGACGGCATCCAATGAGCGCAGTTTATCCGAGGTGGGCGCTGGGGCACGTCTCCCTTTGGGTATTGTTTGAGGGGAAGTGAAGGTGGAAGGGCGGTTTTGGTTGGTCCTTTTATGTGGACGGGTAGTGTGCCCTTCCCTGCCTCTTCACTAGCCGAAACCTTGGAGTGGTGGGCTTTCCCTGGGGTGTGGTTCGGGGTTTCTATGGGCGGGCACGGTGACTCCGAACATTGGAGTCGGGGGAGGGGGCGGGGGAGAACGGACCTTGGCATGGGCGGCCCTTCCCACCGCGGCTCTGCCGTCGCCATTTTGTGGCTGCCTAGCGTCCGCCTGCCGCCTCGTGCGCAGGCGCGGCCGTGGCGTCGCGAGATTCCGGCTTCCACCCGCTGTGACGCTCCCGAGAGGCGGCGACGAGTGCGAGGCCTGTCGCCATTGGGCTGGCTTTGCGGAGGGCGGGGCCCGCCCCGCCCGCACTTCTCGGCCTTTCCTAACTGCGGCAGATGGGAGGGGGCCAGAAGAGCCGGGGAGAGTGTGAGGCTGCGCAGTTCCAGAGGCGGCAGTGGGCGTTGCGGTTGCTGCGTTCTGGGCCCAGGGAAGGATCGTGTTGAGAGCCGAGTTTTAATTTTGTCTGCAAGGGACCTGGCCTAATAAGAGGCACTCTTGGCAGTCTTGTTTATAACATCATCCGGTAAACATTTTATTTTATGCCGTTCATGATTTTGACCCCTTGACCAGGTATTCCTTTGGCATTCACTTGTATTATCTCAATTGAACTATTTTTCTAACAGGAAATAATTAGCCGGGCATCATGAGTGGCTGTCGAGTATTCATCGGGAGGCTAAATCCGTCAGCCAGGGAAAAAGATGTGGAAAGATTCTTCAAGGGATATGGGCGAATAAGAGATATCGATCTGAAAAGAGGCTTTGGTTTTGTGGTAAGTATTTGAAACTGGTTGGATTATCTGTTGTTAATTTGATAAAGATTATTGATCTTAGAGTCCAGGTAGAGTATCTTTATGCAGCCTTAAGGCAGTGAATTTTCTTAAAAGAACTTCACTGCCGACTGCTGCGGTGCAGCTACTGCTGACTGGAGGGGAGCCACTCCTGGTCTCTTGTCAGTTAGGCTTCCTAATCTATGTGGCACTGTCATGAACATATTTTTCCCATCCGTGTTTTCAGTGCTCTTGACGTGTAGCATGCACTGTGCTAGACATATTTTCTTTATGCTTATGTTAGGAATTTGAGGATCCTAGGGATGCAGATGATGCTGTATATGAACTTGATGGAAAAGAACTATGCAGTGAAAGGTGAGAATCTTAGTTTCGTAATTAGCATTGTAAAAGAGAAGACTGGTTTGGTGGGATATTTCTTACATAGCATATGGAGGTAGTGAAGACTTTTCTCCCCTTTCTGTAGGGTTACTATTGAACATGCTCGGGCTCGATCTCGTGGTGGAAGGGGTCGAGGACGCTATTCTGACCGTTTTAGCAGTCGCAGACCTCGAAATGATAGACGGTATGTGTGGTGGGGGGCTGTTTTGAATAGTTTGTATTGTATGAGTATTTAGCAACAATGATTCTGGTATTTACCAAAAAGTCGGTGTTCTTCGTTCTGTGTCAGTCTGCTGTTTCTGTTAAGTCTGTATAATCATGAAATAATTAAGAAATAGTCGAAGTCATTTGACTGACTTGTTATAACTGATTGATTAAACTTGCTCATAGTTGAGCAAAATAAGTGCACATTGCTGTATTTCTTCCATTGTGAGTACCTGTTTTCTTCTTCAGAAATGCTCCACCTGTAAGAACAGAAAATCGGCTTATAGTTGAGAATTTATCTTCAAGAGTCAGCTGGCAGGTTTGTAGAAATTCAGTTTTGAGATAGTTTAATGTGGCTTTTTTTAAAAAACTAGTGGAATGGGTAGCTAATGTTTTATAAATATTTTATTAAAAGTAATTTTATATTTAACTAATGGACTTAATTGTAATTTTAAAATTTTAATTAAATGTAATTGGGGGATATTTCAAATTTTAATATTAGTGATCAAATGTAAATGTTTTGAGGATATTTTTTCTTGTTTTTAAAATCAATTTTAACCAAATATTAAACCCTTTATTTGCCAGCCTATCTGTGTCGTTGGCCTTATGACGAGGAGTGCCTGTGGGTTATCCTAATCGTTGTCTTGGTCACTCTTGGTTGGGCCTGGTTGACTTTGCCAGTCAGCTCCTACAGTGATCAGTTGGCCACCTCTAGATCTGTGTTTGCCGGTCTAGACGTAATCGGGGCACTTACTGAAGTGCCAGGTCGCAGCGATCCCAGAGCGCTGATAACGTGATCTGATTCCTAAGTTGAGAGCTGTCCACGTGTAACGCTTCCGAATAAGAGGTCCTGACCGAAAAAGAGTTGAAAGATACGAAATTAGTTGGTCGTTGGAATCCTGTTCGCATAAAGTGGTCCTTGGTAACTGCACAAGAGTAGAACCTGTCTGCATCCGCCAATAGTCTGCTAATAGGGAGGGATGTGCGATTAAAGGCTTCCATCGATTGGGTAGTATCCTTCGAGTGGGTGGCGAAGAGCCAGTCGGGCATATGTCATGGAGGTTTCTTCGACCGATTAACGGTTTGCTGCTTGACTAGCCTAGGGAAATAATAATAAAGGTAAAGTAAACTTTTTTAATGACATATGGGGCACAAAATAACGTGTCTTGTAAATATTCTGTTTTTAAATATAAAGTTCCTACTTTAGTCTTTACTTTTAAAATATGTACTGTTTCTTTTTGTTTGTTCTTTTTGTTTTGTTTTTTGTTTGTTTGTTTTCCTTTTGTATTGAGCTCAGTATAGACTAATACTACTTAATATTAAAATCTGAATTTCCTGTAGCATTTTGCTTAAAAGCAATATGCTCTTTGCTTATTTCGTGCCCTGACCTAGATTAATTTTTGAATTCTGATAGAATACAAGTGTGGTAAATGCCATGTTTGTACTTTATCTAACATCTTCCCTTTCAGTAGTCTTGTTTTTATGCTATGTTGTTTGTGTGTCCTGTTTCCACTTCTCTGCTTAACACAGTTGTCTTGCGTTAAGGATCTCAAAGATTTTATGAGACAAGCTGGAGAAGTAACCTTTGCAGATGCACATCGACCTAAATTAAATGAAGGGTGAGTATACACTTAAAGATTATAAGCCTTTAAAAATACCTTGGAAATTTTACTGTGAATGTTCCTGAGTACTTGAATTTGCACATGTTCTTGGTTCTCAGGTTAGTTTGCTCCCCCTGGGACATTAGGCAATCTGGCATGTGGACATAGTCTAGGGGTGTTGTGGGAAAGCCCCCCTGCCAAAGACTTGCGTAGCTTAAAATGTCAACAGTAATATGAGGATGAGAAATCTTGCTCTAATGCCATGTTATCCATCAAGAATTAAAGACTTGGCATAGCAATAGCAAAATGAACATAGAAAAGGTACTGAATCTAGGTTTTTATAGCACGTACTGTAGGATGTACATAACTTTAGAAATGTTTTTTTTTCTCCTCTGCATTGTAGGGTGGTTGAGTTTGCCTCTTACGGTGACTTAAAGAATGCTATTGAAAAGCTTTCTGGAAAGGAAATAAATGGGAGAAAAATCAAATTAATCGAAGGCAGCAAAAGGCATAGGTATTTCTCTTAATATTTTTCTGTCAAAAGTTTTACTTAATAAATTTGTAGGGCCTGCTGCTTATGTTGTATTCCCCCCCCAGTAGGTCACGAAGCAGGTCTCGTTCCCGGAGCAGGAGTTCCTCTAGGTCTCGTAGCCGGTCTCGTTCTCGGAGTCGCAAGTCTTACAGTCGCTCTAGGAGCAGGAGTCGGAGCCGGAGCCGGAGCAAGTCCCGTTCTGTTAGTAGGTCCCCCGCACCTGAGAAGAGCCAGAAACGTGGTTCTTCAAGTAGATCTAAGTCTCCAGCTTCTGTGGATCGCCAGAGGTCCCGGTCCCGATCCCGGTCCAGGTCCAGGTCCAGATCCAGATCCAGATCAGTTGACAGTGGCAATTAAACTGTAAATAACTTGCCCGGGGGCCTTTTTAAAAAAACAAAAACAAATTCCCAAAGCATACTTGCTAAAAATTCTGGTAAGTATGTGCTTTTCTGTGGGGGTGGGATTTGGAGGGGGGTTGGGTTGGGCTGGATATCTTTGTAGATGTGGACCACCAAGGGGCTGTTGAAAACTAATTGTATTAAATGTCTTTTGATAAGCCTTCTGCTCACATTTTTGTGAATGTCTGAAGTATATAGTTTGTGTATATTGACGGAGCTCTTTTATAATTAAAGCAAGTTTAATTTTTTTGTACTAGAAAAAATTTTGAACATTTTAGTTACTGGTTATTCAAATATGTTAATTCAGAATTAGTTTAATGTGTCGATTAAACTAATTAATAGCTTTGGACACTTAAAAGAGCTCTAAATTTGCTTGTACATAAAGGCTTAATTTGAGTTTTTCTTGTTAGGGTCAAGGGTGTCCTCTCACCCATCTCTTAACAGCTGCCCAGCAAGGACATTAAAGCAGCTGTTTGTTATTGATAATAAAAGATTATAAAACTGATTTTGTCTGTCTGAAGGATGTGTGCTATTTACTCCTCCATCCCCATCTACATTCACCACATTCAGAATTTCTTAGAGATTGCCTGGAGTCATTTGGTTAGGTTCTTCATTTTTAAAAATTGAAGTAGTACTACTGACATTTCTAGGCTACTCATAAGATGGGCAAAGGAAATCAGTGAACTGTTCAGTAACGTGTTGTTGTGTCCTGGACCTCTCATGCCGTTTCCCTTTATCACCACTGTTCTGTTGGCATCAGGGGACTTTGGTTCCTGTAGTCAAGGCAAGGGCAGTCCAGGCCCTCACCGGGTAGCTCAGCTGGTTCAGAGCATCGCCCTGTGACATGCCAGGGTTAGGTTTGATCCCTGGTGGGGCACGTAGAAGAATCAGCCAATGAATGCATAGGTGGGTGGCACAACAAATCGGTGTTTTGTCTTTGTCTAAAACCAATACATAAGAATTTGAAGAAGACCATTTAGAAAGCAAATTGGACAATCTGTTTTGTTTTATGCCTGACTTTAGAAGTTGTAATAAAATTGTGGTTAGAGATCTTCACATAAGGTTTTTTTGTTTTTTAGATCAATGCATGTAAATATTTTAAAAGGGGTTCATGTGCTTTTTCTTGTCCTGAGGCATAGATGTGACAATACCTGTTTAGGGGAAAATGAGTGAAAGCTGCTTAGGGTTCTCTATCCATCTTTATTTCAAGTCTTACAGCTTACTCTCTGTGGATAATGAGCTATTTCTTAACAGGAATCTCAGAGGCTAGATTGTTTTAGTCCTCTGAGGGCTAGGCTAACATATTTGGTAACTGAGTATCAACATTCACTGAGTCTTTAAAACTACTTACTGTGTACCACCCTTTTCATGGAGGAAATTCAGGGCCAAAGAGAAGAGCAAGTAAATAATGGCCTGGTATTGGAGCCCAGAAAGTCTAAATTGCAGCATTCCAAAACCACACTTTAGTGTTGACGGTGCCCCAGCCCTACAGGGATTTTGAGGAAAGCACTAGAAAGATGGCTTTTGGTTTCCCCAAAGAGTCAATAGTGGTAGTTGCTCCTTAGATTTGAAAGCTCTAAGGTATATGGGCGTGAAGGCCACTTGCCTCTGTATTGAAAACAAATTTGGGCCATAAAGTTGTGAAGGTGATTCTGGGGAGAGTATGTGGTATGCTTGAACTTTGAGGGCACTGACTTGAAATGGCAGAAGCTCTTTTTTCTTGATGTTCTGAAGGCTGTGTGAGTCAGCCATGCAGTTGCTGTCAAATGGGGAGGTTATTTTTTACCCCCACGAGCTTTTAAAATCGGTAACTAGGTATGGTGTATGTATTTTGACGTTTCACCCCTTTTTTTCCCTGCCCCTCTACTCCAAAATAGGTAAGTACAAGTGGATTGCTGTTGTGTTGGGTTGGCTAAAACTATTCCTTTTTCTGTATAATAAAAGACATTTTTCATTTTCACAAAAAACTTTATTGATTTGGATACTTGATGTATGCTGGCTGTCTTCCCTGTGGTATAACATTGATTGTCCTCAATTAACATCTCAATATGATCGTATCACCTTCAACTGGTCTACCTGACTGGAGCTTCGTCCAGTGGGAAAATGTCTAGCGTGAAACTTTGCAAACCACTTTTGACACATTTGATCATGATTGACACAGCACCCTCTCCATTCACTGCACAAATCTTGTTTGGGATTTCAGTTGTTACCTTCCTTGAAATATAACATGCTGAAATTGTTGCGTATTTTCTTCCATTTCCAATATTACAATGGCTACATAAACAGTTTGGTTTTTTTAAAAATGCACACTGATAGAGCTGTTACAATGTAATACAACAAAACTTTCAAATAAAGTTAAGTGCTACTATAGCCATCTTAAACCACATGAGCTTGGCTAACCTGATATTAGAAATAATTTGTTACCCAGTGAGGCAATAAAGTAAGCCTTAAAACAAATGGAAGAGAAGATGGTTTGAATTGGCAAGTTGGCCCAAATTCTCAGATCGCAGACCTGAGAAAGGAGTGTGGGTGTGAGCCTAAGCAGTTTGAGGACCCGTCTTTGACAGGGTGTAGTGCAACTTTTGTGTTATAAATATTCATCTAGTATTTGGGTAACATCTTTTTTGTCTGCAATGTATTTTAAAGTATAGTTAGTATACAATATAACTTTAGTTTCAGGTGTACAATATAGCAATTTGACATTTATATGCTTTACAATGTGGTGGTGCTCCCCTATATACCTTAAAACATGAGCACAGTAAGTCTAACGATGTCTCCTTGTGGACTCAACCATAATATTTCCATGTTTTTTCACCGAGGGTAATATATCTCAAGTCTAGCTTTCCCTTCCTCTAAAAGCTAAACTTGTTCTTCTATTTTGTTGTACTTAACCAAGTTTCCTAGCAAATGGTGTCTGTTAGATATCAGAATATTTAAATCGCTAGGTCAGTGTATAATATGTAAAAAAATAAGTGGCAGACCTTTCAGTGGCCCAAATTAGTGATTCTTCAGTTTGCTTCGGTATTGGGAATATTAGTAGTCTTGAACATTTGCCAGACATCCTGAAATTGTCATAGTTTCAGTTGTATCTAATCATTAAATGATAACAGAAATCACAAGTAGTTAGGCGTGGTAAGCAGTTTTCCAGTGTTCTTTCATCTTTGGCCTAGCGCTTGTTTGCACATGAGCAATATACAAACAAACATAATTTCATGGGAGAAAACTTGAATTTTAAGAATTCTAATTTGAGTATTTGAATTGAGAAACCACTCTTTGACAGTAGCTTCAACTCTGGATTTTGAGGGAGCATAATGTGGAAACCACTGATAACTAATGAACTGATGGGATAAGACTATATTAGATTAGCAAAACAATTCTGTTGATTTTTATATTTCTTGGTGCCTGGCTCTTGTTAAAGTGTTTCCCCTCTACTTCTGGGATTATATGCTTTTATTTCATTATGGCTGAGTGAGTTTGCCTTGTCTAATTGCTCTTGCATATATATTATCACATTGTTTTTGTATACTTGGTGGTGTGCTCATATTCTCAGGAGCTTTAATCCCAGTAGTGATGTCAAAAGGGAGGGAACGGTATCTGAATTTTTAAGGTTACTAGAAAAGACTTCTGAAGTCTACTAAATCTACAGCTTTCTGAGCCTAAAAAAACGAACTTGGAACAGGATTTGAATATTTGATTTTTAGGAAAGCATTTTTAACTAGTTTAGAAATCGAGCACCTTTTTATATGCCTGTTGGGCACTGTTCTAGAGATGCAGGGACAAAAGGCAGTTTGGTTCCTTTCATGGGGGTGTCATTGAACAAGTTTTTTTGTTTTTTTTTTTAAAACAAGTATCAAATCCTGAGCTGGAGGTAGGTGAGGCTTTTAGGGTGATGTCCCCCACCCTCTGTCCTCCAGGCAAAGCTCTTGATGGTCTTGAGACTTTCTGTGGGAAATGTTGGAGAAAGACTCAGACACTGCTGGTACGCTCATCATGCCGCTTTCTCCCTGCAGCTCGCCGTACCGGCTTTCCAAATCACCTGACCTGAGTCCAGGCCACCCGGGCAAGGGTAGGCTGTGGAAGAGCAGCACTCCTCTTTTGGAGTGCTACCATTTCCCAGAGCGGCTGGAGTGGTTTCTTCGGTTGCAGCAACTGTGTAGATCATTTTTGTTTTATCTGTGAAGTTGAAAAAGGGTTATAGGTGGGGAAGAATGAGAATCGTTAATACAAAGCTTATTCAATTTGAAAGGTAAAAGAATACCACCTTACCCCTAAGGTGGGCTCTGTTTTTTCTCATCTCTCTACCATCTCTCCTCTCATGATGTAACTCAGAGGAAAGATGTGCTTTCCCTCAATCTCCCTACTAGTAGTAGTAGTCATGAAGGTCTAGTGCGCAGGACATTGACTCTTCAGGACTCCAGCCCTGACTTCCTGTATGTGCAGTGCAGTAGGGAGTTGCATTTAGCGAGGTGGTTGACTGCATTTGGGGAACAAGGAGGGGTCATGGTGGAAGGAACCTTAGGGAAGTCTTCCAAGGTGTTTCCATGCCCTCCACTACCCCATTTTATTGTTTGGTCTGCTTTTCCTGGCTGTGTGTATGTGGCAGGGAGCTGTGAAGACAGGAGTCAGGGTCTACCTTTCCTGGTCTCCCAACTCTAGAAAGGTACAGGAGTCAAAATCACAAACCCTTGACAGGTTCTTCATCCTGAGCTGTTGCTTGGGCCCTTAGTCCACAAAGTGGAAATCTTGTCCACTCTCGCTTTTTAATTTTTTGTTAAAGAGGGTGGAGACTTCTATGGGCCATGGACTTCTTGAGTTGCTTTTAAATAAGCATCAGACTAGGTTTTCTACAATTCTGCTGTCGTTTTGAACCAACATCTACAAAATTATTCTGAGGTGTGTGCAGCTATTTATTGGTTTCTTTTTGGCTGCTTGATAACCAAGGTTAAATTTTCATTGTAAATTGGCATTTGCCTACTACAAGATAATTAATTTCACCAGGGGAAGTTGCATCTTTCTCCCAGGGTGTAAATCAGTCCCTGGTGTCTAGGAAAAAGGTCTCTAAGCAGCCCTCAGTTAAGTTCGTGGGAATAAGAGTTTAAGGATTTGAGTGATTAACAATATACTGAGACTTCCGGACAAGATGGAGGTGTGGGTAGACACACTGCCTCCTCGCACAACCAAAAGAAGGACAATTTAGAAACAAAAAACAATCAGTACTGACAGAAAATTAAACTGTATGGAAGTCCGACAACCAAGGAGTTAGACACCTTTATTCAGACCAGTAGGAGGGGCGGAGTCAGGCGGCCAGGCGGAGAGGGATCACAGCAAAGTGGTGGCTGCAGGGGTGGGCAAGGTGGCAGCGGGTGGACCCAGCAGACCCAGCAAGGAGGCAGATTGTGGAGGGGCGCAGCTCTTAAGGGGGCTGGCGGTCCGGGCGGTTCCACATATCGTGTGCAGATAAACCAGGTGGTGAAATTGGAGAGCAAGACAGACCACACAACCCAGGGTCCCAGAGCAGGGAAATAAAGCCTCAAAACACCAATTGAAAACACCTGTGGGGGTTGAGGCGCAAGAAGAGACTCCCAGCCTCACAGGAAAGTTCGTTTGAGAGACCCACAGGGTCCTAGGACATACACAAGCCCACCTGCCTGGGAATCAGCACGAGAGGGGCCCAGTTTGCTTGTGAGAAGCGGGGCAAGTGACTGAAATCTGGTAGAGGGTGGAGCAAGCACCATCGTTCCCTTGGGCCCCACCCCCCCATATAGCGTCACAACTCAGAGACTGGGTTGCCCCGCCCTGGTGAACACCTACAGCTCCACCCCTCACCACGCAACAGGCGCATCAAGACAAAAAAAATGGCTCAAACGAAAGAATAGATCAAAGCACCAGAAAAAATACAACTAAGCGACCAAGAGATATCCAACCTATCAGATGCACAGTTCAAAACACTGGTAATCAGGATGCTTACAGAATTGGTTGAATTTGGTCACAAATTAGATGAACAAATGAAGGGAAATAAAGGAAAATGTACAGGGAACCAATAGTGATGGGAAGGAAACTGGGACTCGAATCAATGGAGTGCACCAGAAGGAAGAAAGAAACATCCAATCAGAAAAGAATGAAGAAATAATTCAAAAAAATGAGAGGCTTAGGAACCTCCAGGACATCTTTAAACGTTCCAATATCTGAATTATAGGAGTACCAGAATGAGAAGAGGAAGAGCAACAAGTGGAAAAGTTTTTTGAACAAATAATAAAGGAGAACTTCCCCATTCTGGCAAAGGAAATAGACTTCCAGGAAGTCCAGGAAGCTCAGAGAGTCCCAAAGAAGTTGGACCCAAGGAGGAACACACCAAGGCACATCATAATTACATTACCCAAGATTAAAATGAAGGAGAAAATCTTAAAAGCAGCAAGACAAAAGGAGAGAGTTACCTACAAAGGAGTTCCCATCAGACTGTCAGCTGATTTCTCAAAAAAGACCTTGCAGGCAAGAAGGGGCTGGAAAGAGGTATTCCAAGTCATGAAAGGCAAGGACCTACATCCCAGATTGCTCTATCCAGCAAAGTTTTCATTTAGAATGGAAGGGCAGATAAAGTGCTTCTCAGATAAGGTCAAGTTAAAGGAATTCATCATCACCAAGCCCCTATTATACAAAATGTTAAAGGGACTTTCTAAGAAAAAGAAGATAAAAGACTATACAGTAAAATGACAGCAGACTCACAATCATTAACAACCACACCTCAAACAAAAACAAAAGTAAACTAAGCAAACAACTAGAACAGGAACAAACCACAGAAATGGAAATCCCATGGAGAGTTAGCAACAGGGGAGTGGGAGGAGGAGAGAGGGGGAAAAGGCACAAAGAATAAGTAGCATAGATGATAGGTAGAAATAGACAGGGGGAGGGTAAGAATTGTATGGGAAATGTAGAAGCTAAAGAACTTACAGGTATGACACATGGACATGAACTAAAGCGGGGGAATGTGGGTGGGAGAGGGTGTGCAGAGTGGAGGGGAGTGAAGGGGAAAATGGGACAGCTGTAATAGCATAATCAATAAAATATATTTAAAAAATAAAAACATATATACTGATGTTTGGAATATAAAATACTGAAATAATATTTCCAATAAGGTTGTTTACTGGTTTGGGGGGAAAAATGGTTAAAGTCCACTTTGAGGAAGGGACTCTGGGCTTTCTTGAGTTTTAATTATATTTCGAAGAGAATGAAATGATCTGAACCTCAGAAAATAGGTGCTAATTGGCTAGGAAGTTAGTAATCTAGTAGTAATCAGATTAAGGTATAAATCCGATCAAACTAGATTATTGTGATAGCTACTGTTCAATACACTTAAGTTACCGTGTAACAAGAATTAGAATTCTGTTTTTGGATGCAGGGCTATGGGGCTGCATCGCTTGAATGTTCTCCCTCGTGTGGGGGTGCCCGTGGTGCTCGGGCTCTCACCTGGTTCCCAGAAACACGAGAACCTGATCCTGAAGTACAGACTCCTGAACTCTGGCGAAAAGGGCCCTTTCACACAACTAATATCTCACCGCTATCTAATGGCCAAGAAAGTTCTGTCCTGCATTCTCCTCCTGAGCGCTATTTACGGTCTCCTCAGTTTAAGCAGCCCACATTCCTCAGTCTCATGAGGCCAGCTCCATCCAAAACAGAATGCAGTGAATGACGTAGCCTCGGCTCTTTGAGATCCCTTTGTGCTTCCTGATGCTTTCTGTTTCCTACTGACTTGATAAGAATGATAGCCCCATCCAAAAGGTCCTAGCCAGAAACTGGATTGCCTCCAATATGAGAGCAGATCTGCAAGGGGAATAATTCGGTACTCACCCTTGGAAGGTTTGATTTTCTCGTAGCACCGGAAGAGGGCAATGAGGAGAAGCCCTTCTCCAGTCTGGCAGATCATGTAGAGGAGAGGGAAGAAGAAAAGTGGTCCAATGACTTCCGGGGGGAAGGTCACATTGAGGATGGCAGCGCAGAGTTGCACATTTTGGCATCCAGTCTCCATGCTGACAGTGCGGCTGCATCTGTAGGTTAAAACAAACCAACCCCATAGGCCCTCACAAAAGAGGCATGAGTTGCAAACTCACTTCCTTATCTCTTCCTTCCCAGTTACTTTAAGACCCACTGAACACCCCAAGACAGGCAGACGATAGTGTGCCAGGGTACGGGGTGCATGGGGTTTCAAGAAAAGCAAAGTTGACCTGTCTCAAAATCACTAATCCAGGCTTGTGGAAGATGGTGCCTGGTTGGTTCATGTCGGGAGTTTTTATGAGGTCATTTTTTATTGTCTTGGAAATCTGCAATTTGTGCACTTTTGTAGGGTTAGCAAATTAAAATATGGAGCCATGTCCAGCTGGTGAAGGATGGAAGCAACGTGTTGAGTCAGTGCCCCTCACTGGCCGGTTACACTGGGCGCACAGACAGGACAATGGCAGCTTCAACGTCCAGTGGAAGATGGAAACACCTGGGGGCCTTGCTCTGCCCCCAGGGTTCTGGCTTGGATACCTTGAACTCCAGAACATGTGATGACTGGAAAAATAAAAAAAACTAGATTCAAAGATTTATTTGTCTTTGGAATACAATCTCTTGGTTTTGCTGTCCATTTTATGGATTAAGGAATGGGATGTTCACAATTAATGAAAATACACTGAATTCATTGAATTGTGATCAGTGTATTAAAATAGCTGTTACTCACTAGCACCCTGAGTGCTCTCTGGGCGCGCTGTGGGGAAGGCTGCTGCGAAGGTTTGGGTGCTTGGTGCCGGGGGCGCCGTGACCTGTACGAATCACTGCGACTTTGTGAAAGTCCACATCGAGTGGTCATGGAAGCCTTTCGACTCTACTTAATTGCCATGTGGTACACCCTGTGGTAATTTGTTCTTTGTTAGCATGTTTTCAGAATGGATGTTTTTTATTTAAAATTTTTTTTTTAATTTTACCTTTCACTTCCAGTTGACATTCAGTATTATTTTACATTAGTCTCAGGTGTAGCAGCATAGTGGTTAGACAATTATGTGATTTATGCAGTGACCCCCTGGCACCATAATTATTACAATATTATTGACTGTATTCCCTATGTTCTGCTTTATGTCCCTGAGACTATTCTGTAACTTCCAATTTGTACTTCTTAATCCCTTCACCTTTTTCACCCAGCCCCCCAACCCCTTCCTATCTCGCAACCTTCAATTCACTCTCTTTATGGATAATTATTTTTAAGCTATATATATTTTTAAAGATTTTATTTATTTAATTTTAGAGAGGGAAGGGAGGTAGAAAGAGAGAGAGAGAAACATCAATATGCGGTTGCTGGGGGCCGTGGACCGCAACCCAGGCATGTGCCCTGACTGGGAGTTGAACCTGCGACACTTTGGTTTGCAGCCTGTGCTCAATCCACTGAGCTACGCCAGCCAGGTATTTTTAAGCTATATTTTTAAAACACTTTTTTGTTTTTGTTGGGGGGAAGGCACTAGGGTGCTACTAATGTGTAGCCTCCTGCATAAGCATTCGCCTGCGCTTGAGGAGAGCACAGGTTCCTGGAATGTTCTCCTCTCTGTGGACGGGGCCTGATGTTCCCATACCGGGCTTGCCAAGCCATCTGTTCCCCGAAAGCAGCAGCTGTTTGCAGTTGGATTAGACGACAGCTGAGGTCCCAGCCACTGCAGCTCTGAGTGCCCCTTAGCAGAGCTGTCACTTGATGGTGTCCTTGTCCAGGCAAAAAAAGGAGGGAGATTGGAGAGGGAGAATATGATCAACCCTTGTCATGATGCCATGGAGATACCCTGGTGCCATTAGCTACCAGGAGTTTGGGCAGGAGTTGGGACCTGGGCTCTGGAGGGAGCACTTTGCCATGAGTTGTTGGTTTCTGGGTGATTAGAAAAGTGCCATTGTTCTCTGGATTAATGTTCTCGATGCATTTGGACATATTGCTAGGAAAATGCCTTCCCCCAGGCCTCAGATCTCCTCCTCCTTTTCCTGAGAGACCAAGACAAAGGTGCAGCCCATGGAACAGTGAGACCTAGAGGAATACTTACTGTCCGTTGAGGCGGAAGAGAGTGGAGAGAAGGAAGCCCAGCAGGAAGCCGATGAGGGGCATCAGGGAGGAGGTGGCCCACAAGTGGGGCGTCATGACAAACAGGATGCTCCTGCCCACATTGATGACAGAGAGCGCTGTGATGGCCACACTGAGCAAAAGCACGATGATCATTCCTGCCTGGGAAGGAGGACAAGGAGCAGAGGCAGTTAGCAGGGCAGTGGGGATGGGGAGGGGCCGAGGGGGCTGGTAAAAGCATGTGGGCATGGGAGGTGGGAAACATTTTAATTAAAAAAAAATGGTATTTGAAGTGGAAGTGACTACAAAAGACCTTTGTTTTCCATCTGTTGGAATTCTTGTCGGTAGTTAGGAAGCTTCCTGGAGGACAGAGACCTGATTAACACTTGGTACTAAAGACTAAGCCAAGTACAGTGTCAGCTTGACATCTCTGGAGAGCGGATTTTCAGATACGTGCTGTGAGCATGCAGGAACGAGACTATTCAGCCCCCCCTGCAAAGTGGTTGTAAATGCAAAGTTCTCTTGCAAAGACATCAACTCTAGAGCTTGTATACACAATCCAGCAATACTGCCCTTGCTCCAGATGTTTTGGAACTTACTCGATGTTGTTACTAGACCCTGTCATCCTTGTCTCAAGTAGGACTTCCATTATGGAAGGGACCTCATACATTTTAGGATGAATTTGACTTCTGGAAATTGCCAAGAGTCATTTGAAGTGAAGCTGGTAAACATACAAGTTGGGTGATCAAGTCAGGTAATGTGGTTTTAGATCCCAAATGATGTATGACTGTAAGGAGGCGAGTCTACTTTCTTGAGTGACCTGCAAATTGGATATGAAGGAAGTTCCCAGAAAGAGCTTCAGGGATATCTTGGGTCATGATGGCATCATCAAAAACAATACAGGTGTCCACCCTGTCCCAGGGGAGTTCTGTGGAAGCAACATTTATTGCTTTTAATAATAATTACAATTAAATTCATGTTAATATTTAATATGAAAGCCATCCTTTGTTTTAAAAATTCTAGTTGCTTCTTACCACTTTAATTTTCAAGGTAGATTTATAATATGCACTTTGGAGAATGTCACAGCCCAAACTGATAAATTATATGCATAAATTGAAGGCTCTTTGTCTCACTCATCTTTTAGGTAAAGATATATCAAACTCTTTTTTGAGCTTACCATGTTAGCTTGCAATGATTCTAGGTGTTGGTTCAGTTTTCAGTTCATTCACAGATGCAGCATTTGATACCCCTCGTGCCATTTAAAAAAAATTGTGGTAAAATATAACACAAAAGTTGCCATTTAAATGATTTTTTAGTGCACAATTCAGTGGCACTAATTACATCCACAAAGTTGTCCTGGTGACGTTTTAGCCTTTATTTTGCTCAGATTTTAGCTGCATAGTTTTGCATCTCTGTGTTTTGAATCCATGTTTAACAGCCAGCCGGGGGCCATATAAAACGTTGCCTGCCCCCCTTGTTCCCATCCCACAGCAGGAAGGAGTTTCGCAGGTCTCTTCAATAACCACGGGCCTCAAGTTTTACTGCAAGACTCGAAACTGATGCGGTGTTCAGTTTGCTCAGTCTGTTCCTGCATTTTGAGTTGATTTCTCCTTTTCGATTTTTTGCTGCCTTCCGACGAAGGACCAAAGAGTATCTGGCCCCCTCAAAAGAGTGGGATGGAAAATGGAGGGGGCACTAGGCTACAGGAGTTGTCTGGGAACCCAGAAACCCCTTTTCTCTGGGGGCATTCACTCGCATGCCCTGGTGCCCGTCCTCCTGCTCTCGGGGGCTGCCGAGTGGTCACGAGCGCAGACTTCGCTGTGACCCGGGTGTGGAAACTGGCTCAGCTGGCCTCCTGATGTGTAAACTGGGCGGAGTCACAGCCTCTCTGAGGTGGGCGACACAGGCCCTGCCATGTAAGGACCACCCACTAAACTGTAGTGCCTGTTGCTCGTAGGCGAAGGAGAGGAAACCAACACTGCAAAGTTTCCTGCACAGTCAGGCCTGCCCTGCGTGGAAATCTCGTGTCCACGCCCTCCTGCTGAGACGAGAGGCCACAGGTAGCGGTTTCTCCATTGGTCACCGCGTTTTTCTTTGGTGCCACTGGACTTTCCTACCCTGTCAGGTGATTGAAACTGTGATGAGTGCCCATTCATGGGGAGCCAGTTCCTTCATCTTGACCCAGGACGTGACCTGGCTCAAATTATTCCCACGAAGGTGGCCTACACAGGTTGGTGAGTGGCCCAAGTAGTCACATCCTCTCATTCTGGGAGTTTTCAGACTTGCAGGGAAGCAGGAGCAGATGCAAGCGCTAAAAGACAGAGGCCTGGGAGCCGCAGGAGCCACATGTCGGCAGAAGCCATGTGGCGGAGGAGAGCCAGGTCAGCTCGCCAGCAGCTGCAGGAGGGGAAAGCATGGGTAGAGTGGTTGGGTCAGTGTAATGGCTGGACCCCGACTAAGGAGTGGTGGCCGCCTTTTGGTAAAAGTAGCTCCTGTCCATTTTGTGCTCGGGTTCACCAACCACAAAGCCTTGAATGAACCCTTGCGGGGGAAGGTAAAGTGTTACGTGAACTGCTTTTCCAAACAGGCTTCCCGAGATCCTATCTTGGCGTATCTGAATATGACCTCTCACTAGGAAATGCAACTGGTCGAACAGTTTGAGAAGATACCTTGTGCCAGAGACTGTTTTAGGAGTTGGATTATTTTGAGATGAAAATCTCTAGGAGGGTTAAGTATGCAAAGAGGCTGGGGTGATCTTTGGCCCATTTTTCAGCTTGAAACTCACTGTATTTTATGGAGCAGGGAAATGAAGGATGAACCTAGACCTCCAAGAGCCATGAAAGCAAGGAAGCCTCAGCCTCGGCCTCATGACCACACGCTTGTCTCTGTATCCTCAGGGGTGGTTTCTGTCGGGGGGTATTAGATAGATGGAGCTGCTGACCTCTGGTTGTTTAACTCTGAGGGCGCGGCCATGGTAATTTGGATCTGGATGTACACTGTCCCTGTCTTTCTAGCCCGGGCATATCGTAGCCCTTTCACGTTCTCTGGGGTGAGTTTGACTCAATTTTTACTGTGGAATTGAGCAGTGGAAGTGCAGCACAACAGGAGCAGAAGACTGACTGATCACGTTGACTCTGCCAAGTAACTTTCTTGGACCTCAGTAATTCTACCTGTTAAATGGAAATAAGGCAGGAGACTGAACTTTGTCTTGAAGGACTTTGCAGCTTTAAAATATGAGATTCTTTTTGTGTCCTTGGAATACTTTTAATTAAAGTTATTCTCAGGTAAAAAGGAAGCATATGTTCTTATATCAATTGCACTTGGGGTTCTAGTTATTTGGTTTTCTTATCTGTAAAATGGGGGAGGGTAGCCCTGGCCAGTGTGGCTTCCCTGGTTGGAATGTGGACCCGTACACCAAAGGTACATGTACTTAGGTTGTGGGTTCAAACCCCGGCCAGGGTGTGTATGGGAGGCAACTGATTGATGTTTCTCTCTCACATCGGTGTTTCTCTGTCTCTTTCTAAAATAATAAACATATAAAAAAATAAAATGGGGGAGGGTAGAGTTGCATTGACTCATCAAGTTACTTCACATTTTCATATTCTGTGATTTTTTTTAATCCTCACTGGAGGACTCTTTTTTATTGCTTTTAGAGAGAGAAAGGCAGAGAGGAAAGAGAGAAACATCGATGTGAGAGAGAAGCATGTACTGGTTGCCTCCCGTACGTGCCCACACTGGGGATTGGACCCACAACGAGGGTATGAGCCCCGGTGGGGGATCAAAGCCCCAGCCTTTCAGATAGGAGATGACGCTCCAATCAGCCGAGCTGCACTGGCCAGGGCTGTTTGTGATTTTTTCTTTATTCCTACACCCCACACACTATCTTGAATAAATGAAATGGTGGACAATCGCATTTCTGGATTTCCCCCCAACTGTTAATGTGTGGGAGAGGCAGAACTTGTTCTTTTATTCCTTTATTTATTCTCATGCACTAGGGGCCCTGTTATAGGTACTGGGATTGGGTGTTAACATACAGCCTTAGGATCTTTCTTCGCGAGGAACTCGAGGTGAGTGGGGAATAAAACCAAACAGGTGTTTATAATACAGTGTGGTAAGTGCTGCCGGCATCAGTGTTGGGTGCTGCGGGAGTAACTGGGACCAGCATCCTAGCCAGGTTTGCGAGTTAAGGAAAACTGCCTGGGGAGATGCCATCTGTGCTGAACGTGAAGGGTGAGCATGAGTGAGCCCAGTGAAAGGTGGTGGATGAGGTGGAACTTGGAGAGGGGAGTGTCCCAGGTAGGGGAAAGGGCCTGTGCAAAGAAAATAGATTGGAGAGGTCCATTGAGACCGAATCAAGAAAGGCCTGAGGACCCACATTAATGAGTTTAAACTTTATCCTGAGGGGTAGTTTGTACTTTCCACCCTCAGGTTAAAACTGGGTCAGGGAGCCAGGTTAGAAGATTATTTCAGTTGTCTAGTGAGAGAACAGTGGCCTGAACAAAGACCGTGGACACAGGATGGGGAGGGGTGGATGGATTCCGGCAAAAGCAGAAGAACTGACAATCACTGATTAGTGTGAGTGGGGAGGGAGAGGGGACGGATGTTGAGAATAACTTTCCAGTTTCTGGCTCAGGCAGTTGGGCATGCTCAACTCCAGTCATCGAGATAATCAAGGGGGAAGAGGGGAGAAGCAGGCTTGGGGAGGAGCTGATTTTAATTTAAGTCATGCCAAGTTTTAATGCCTGAAGCATATTCATGTAGAAAGACTTGACAGCCAATAAATGGACTCCAGAGTCAGGAGAGAGTTGAGGGCTGAAGAGGCTGTTTTGCAAGTCATCTCAGCTCATAGATGTTTGCTGAGATGGGCCTTGCGGCGGGAAGACTCTGGGCTCAGGGAAGCCTGGCAAGAAAAGCAGAGAGCTCGAGCTGAATGCAGAGAACTGGTACCAGGGAGACTCATAAGGGAGTCTGAAAAGAAGCACCAGAGAGGTGGTGGGAAAAGCCGGAGCACCCAGGCTCCAACCGAGGCTGAGGGCGAAGCCTCTTGAGAAGGAGCCGCTGGTCCACCATAATCTGTTGGATTTGGTGAAGAAAATGGGGCAAGTGGTCATCAGGATGCTGAGTGGATGGGAGACCAAGGAGAGAAGAGAGGGACTCCCATTACTGAGGCTCGTTGTGGAGGGCTTGGTCCCTGGGGAGAGCAGCCCTGGTGGTGGTGTGCTGGGAGAAGAAGCCATGCGAGAGGGCGTGGTTGGGGGCAGAGGTGTTTCCCAAAGTGGGGTTAAGAAGGGATTAAAAAAAAAAAAAAGCAAAGCCCCCACTGGCGTGGCTCAGTTGTTTGGAGCATCGTTCCATAAACTGAAAGGTCGCAGGTTCAATTCCTGGTCAGGGCACATATCTAGGTTTCAGGTTCATCCCCCATCCAAACACAAATGAGAGGCAACCGAATGATGTTTCTCTCCTGCTCTCTCTCCCCTCCCTCCCCCGCTCTCTAAAATCAATGAGCATGTCCTCAGGTGAGGATTAAAAAAAAGGTAAGAGAGGTGTGGCTCCATATCAAGGCTGGTTGTGAACAGCTAATACAGAGATGTTCTAGAGATGAGCAAGGTTGGGGAGACTGTGGGGGCTCAGGCACACGATCAATAAAAGGCGGTCTCTGAGAAGCGAGGGTGGAGAGAACGGAGGATGCCATCCCAAGCGGAGTAAGGCGATCAGCACAGGCAGGAGGAGGAATGGTGTCCGTGTCTTTCAACAGGTGGGAAGGGGAGCTGTGGCCACAGAATTAGGACTGTGTAAAGCTACTCTGACAGTGGTAGTGTGAAAATCCAGTAACCCTGAAAACCTGAACTGCAGCTTTTTGTCTCAAGGCCTAAGCTTCTTCTGAGCCTTGACTTCCAGATAGCATGCTCTGTAGACAGGCCCTTGGGCATAGATCCAGGGGCAGGATGGAACACACCCTCAGTGTGTCAGGAGGCAGAGTGTTCCCTAGGGCAAGTGATGAGCAGTGAGCCAGAGTACACACTGACAGGGATGGAGCTCTAAGGTCACAAAAGTTGGCAGAGAGACCATGGTTGCACTCCAAGAGTCTGTGATTCTTCCAAGGGCAAGGTGGTGGCTTGATGCTCTGCCTGTGACCACAGTGCTCCCCCAACTCTCTGGGGTCCTACTCACTGCACTCTCTTCCCATCCCACTCCTGAAATGCTGGGAATGTACATACCACCTCTTCACCTGGGCTCCACCCCTCTGGCTTCTTGGCAAGTCAGCCAGGTTTATGCTAGCTCCCCCCATTCAGGCTTGTCCCCAGGCTTACCCAAATCCTATATTTGTTCATGTTTTGGCTTAAGACTGTCCACTCCAGGAGGCCTTTCTGTGCTACCTGGCCCTCACTAACTTCCTTGCATTTTGCGAATGCTTGATTGATTGCTGTGTTGGGTCTCGTTTCTTGTGTGTTATTTCACTTTCTGCAAACTGTCCATGAATCCTCAGAAGGTGTAGGATAAAAAATCTAGTAAGTGCATAATAAAAATTTAATTATTAAACTAATGATAATACCTTATAGTTGTGTAGGGTGTTTTATTTTTTTCCCTCTTAACTTTTTGAAAGTATTCTCAGGCACATTACAATCCCATTAAGTGGCTGTCCCAATAGTAGACCTTTGTTCTCTTTTCTTTCCTTTTCTTTTCTTTCCTTTTCTTTTCTTTTCTTTTCTTTTCTTTTCTTTTCTTTTCTTTTCTTTTCTTTTCTTTCTCCTCTCTTCTCCTCTCCTCTCCTCTTCTCCCCTCCTTTGCCCTCTCCTCCTGTCCCCTTCCTTTCTCTTCCCTTTCCTTTTCCTTTTTGTAAACAAGGAAAAAAACCAACACAGAAAAAAGCCCAAACAACTTGTGTCAAGCCGTATGCTGAGATGACAGTGGCAATCTTGCTCCCCACTCAAGCCCCCAGATTCTTACCTTGATGACGTAGCGTGCATATTGTGGCCTTTTGCTGTTGAGGAAGATCCCTAAGGTGCTAGGGGTGAGAACCAGTACCATTGATAACACAATGCCTCCATAGGGTACCTTGTTCCTCAGGTTCCCCTCATAGATTCCCCTGGAGTAAACATACAGGAGGAGGGGCATCATGCCCAGGGCAAAGAAGGTGGAACAGGTGGTCATCACGATGCTGTGTGGGAGACATAGGAAGAGTGCAGAAAGAAAGCCCATTAATATGGGTGATTTTCTCGGCTGCCAGCTGTGTGCCAGAGCACTAGGCTAAGCACTTTAGATATATTGCTTCATTTTCTTTTCCTGGTAGCCTTAGGAGGTAAGCATACAATCTCCCTTTGCTAATGAGGAAGCTAAGGACTAGAAGAGTTGTGACGTGTCCGGGATCCAGGTAGTGATGGCTGGAGGCAGGATTTGTACCCAGGTCTGTCCAACTGTGTCAATCCCTGTGTGCTTCCTTATGGAAGGAGTATTCTGATTCCCTCTTTAATAGAACTCTTTTTGCTCTGAGCACTTGCTATATGCACAGCCCATTCAGAAGAAAGCCCACTGTGTGACTTCATCATTCCGACTACCTTATCCTATTGGATCACAGAGCAGCACCTGGCCCACAGTGGTGTCTGTCTTAGAGCCTCAGGGATGGCTGGACATAGTGGTCACGTTCAACTGAGATAAGGTTTAACTGTATCAAGAACATTTTCTCTCTTGGAGATTTTGAATGTGAGACCCAATGACAGAACCTGTGGTCTTTAAGAGTGGGTGGCAAGGGTGGGGTGGCCAGGCAGTGGCCACAAACATGCAAAGGAAAAGTAAACAGAGACCATGGTCAGAGGGTCTGTAAAAATAGCAGCAACAGAATGTGCTGCAAAAGTGACCAGACAACCTGGTCATCAGACCTGCTTTGTACCTCAGTACGGTTCTAGTCACCAACACTGGTATTTCTCATATTCTTCACCTTCTGGTTTATCCTTACATTTGTTAAATAAACTGAGTGTGAGTCTCAGAGCCTGAATAACACACCATCCCAGCTCTAATTTGTATCCTAGTTGTCCTATTATTTCCATTCAGAATCTAATACATGTTTGTCCCAGGACCCTGTATGGGCACATGCCTTCCAGAAAGACCAGCTGAGAGGATGAAGCTGCTGGGGAACAGTCTAGGATGTGTGGACACTGACCTTACACTATGTGGCTCTGGCTTCCATCCTAGCAGGCCCTCAGGATGATCACCACAGTGTGCATCCCTCCTCCACACGCACAGCCCTATCCTCTATCTACACGTCTCCATGGTTTCCATCAAGGTGAACTGTGGCTTCAATGAACATCAAGTGCAGCCTAGTGCAAAGGGTCCAGAGTGTAGCCATCAAGAACAGCAACAGGGGGAAGATCACAGGGATAAGACACTGTCAGAGGTGAGGAGACACCCTCAAAGAATATTGTGTGCTGAAAATGGGGAAACCTTCCCTTGTGAATACTTGAAACACTTAAGTACATACTTGAGTGTGGAAGAAAGTAAGGGAGGTTTTCGGGGATCAGAAACAAAGAAAGCAAAGTAAAGTAAGTCTTCACCTTAGAGTTGCACATACTTCACTTACTGAAATATGTGAAAAGGCAGTTTGACCATGGGCTAACTGACACAAACAAGAGTTAAGTTCCTACAGCATTGCGTTGTTATAACACAATACTGTTGGAAGAAACGTTATTTGTTATTTGAGGACCTGCTGTAGTTAGTGGATAAACTCATGTTGAAGCTACACTACATGGAGGGGTAAGAAGTATAGTGTCAGTTTGGGGAATCTGGAGGCTGAGGTGTTAACGCCTAAGACAGGGACCAGATTTGAGATTTTAGGCTTCTGAAAAGAGGAGAGTTGAAACAGAGAGATCAATAATAAAAAACAATTTGGGAAAGTAAAATATCTTATTATCTCATGGGTCAAATATGAAATAATGAAAAGAAAATATTTGGAATAGAATATACTATAATACATATTTAATTCCTGGCTGGTGTAGCTCAGTGGATTGAGCTTGGGCTGTGAACCAAAGTGTCGCAGGTTTGATTCCCAGCCAGGGTACATGCCTGGGTTGCAGGCCATGACCCCCAGCAACCGCACATTGATGTTTCTCTCTCTCTCTGTCTCCCTCCCTTCCCTCTCTAAAAATAAATAAATAAAAATCTTAAAAAAAAAGAATATACTATAATACATATTTAAAAATACACAGGGAGTGCCAGCTGGTGTGACTCAGTAGATTGCCAGCCTGCAAACCAAAGGGTCGCTGGTTCAAATCCCAGTCAGGGCAGATGCCTGGGTTGCAGGCCAGGTCCCCAGTAGGGGGCATGCGAGAGGCAGCCACACATTGATGTTTTTCTCCCTCTTTCTCCCTCCCTTCCCCTCTCTTTAAAAATAAATAAATAAAATCTTTAAAATAAAAATAAAAACACATGGGGAGATGAACTTGGATTAAGCAATGTTTCTTAGAAATGATACCTAATGCATGAATGACCACATAAAAACATAAATTTGACCTCATCAAAATTAAAAACCTGTGTGCTCCAAAGAACACTATCAAAAAAGTCTCCTACATAATGGGAGAAATTGTTTGCAAAGCATATAAGGGCTTAGTATCCAGAATATGTAAAGAACTCTTACAATTTAACTTGAAAGCCCTAAATAACAGAATTTAAAAATGGGAAAAGACTTGAATGAACATTTCTCCAAAGAAGATATACAATTGGCCAATAAACATAAAAGAGAAATAAAAGTCAAAACCATAATAAGGTACCATTGCACACCAACTGGTATGGCTGCAGTAAAATTGCTGGCTAGGTCTTGGAGAGGGTGTGGAGAGATTTTAATTTTCATATGTTGTTGATGGGGATGTGAAATGGTACAGCCAGCGTGGAAAATAGTTGCTAGCTCCTCAAAAAGTTGTCATATGACTGAGCAAGGCATATGACATATCCATTTCCCAGGCATATATCCAAGAAAAATAAACATATTTCCACACACAAAAAATGGATACTAATGTGCATAGCAGGATTGTTCATAATAGCTAAAAGTGGAAAACAATAAAAAATCCATCAGCTGACAAATGGATAAGCAAAACAAGGTGTGTCCATACAACTGAATAGTATTTGGCTGTAAAAGCAATGGGAAGTACTGCTGCATGCTGCCACATGGGTGAACTTTGAAAACATTATGGTAAGTGAAAGAGGCAGAAACATTAAAGGCCCTATATGGTGTGATTCCATTTCTTTGTGATCTGTAGAGGCAAATAGCCAATTAGAGGGTTGCCAGGGGCTGGGGTAAGGGGAGTGAGTGCTGCTGGGTATAGGGTTTCTTTCTGGGGTAACTTAAAATGTTCTGGAATTAGGTAGTGGTGATTAGCTATCCAACCTTGAGAAGATACTAAAAACTACTGAATTATGCACTTTGCAAGGGTAAATTTTACGATGGTATGTGAATTATATCTCAAAAAATAAATTAATTTTAAAAAGCTGGGGAGCATCTAAATTAATTCTTAGAGAAAAATTGATAGATTTAATGTTGGGAACCGCCCTGCCTGGTATCAGAAGCTGTAACCCCCTCCTAGGCTAAGGCTAAGGCTAAGGCTAATGCTAAGGCTAAGGCTAAGGCTAAGGCTAAGGCTAAGGGAAAGCCCTTGGAACCATAAGCCAGGAAGGAGACAAGCTTATCTCCCTGACAGGAGCGCTGCTTCTGCTCCTTCATACCTCACCCTGCCTGGACCCCAATGCTTGGTCCGTTAGCCAATGACGGGTAAGATTCCCCAAGGGGGGAACGATCTAAGACAGGCATGATCATGTGGGAGGCCCCCAAAAGAAGGACTCTGGGGGCTACGGCAAAAGAGGGTGATGGACTCTTGCCCTTTGGCTTTGACAAAGCCCGAGTCCTCCTGATTTGCAAGAAAATCTCTTAATCTCTTGGCTGCCTTACTTTCCTTGCTCCACCAAAGCCTGAAACAATGACAGGGTAGTGCCACCCTGTGCTGGAAAGGGCGGATTCCCCGGGTGATCAGGCCTAAGAAAGAACATGTAAATTCCTGTGAAACCTTCTTTGTTTAGAATGCTCTCAGTTGAATGAGAAGGGTCCAAGGAGGAAGTTAGTTTGTTCCTTATTAGAGTCTTACAGCTCTTTGACCCTGACTCAAAATAGACCCTTAGAGTTCCTTGTTACCTATCCTTTGATCCTTATTTTCTTGCAATGAGTAATATGCTTTACCTGAATTCTTATGCCAAACGAACCCAATAAAAGCTGGTTTGGATGGTAAATCGGTGCGCTCCCCACTAGAGGGGGTGGCCATTCCGTTCCTACTTCTCCACAGAAACTGGTCTGTCTCTGTGCATGTTTTTTCTTGTGTTTTGATGAGCCATCGCAGTGTTCCATGATCACTGCTGGCCGGTGACCCACGCATCAACTTAAATGTTTATATAGGAAAATCAGAAAAACAAAAATCAATGAGCTAAGCATGCATTTCATTTCAGAAACAAAGTAAACCCAATGAAATTCGAAGAAAGAAAATATTAAAGATGAAAAAATAAACTTTAAAAATTATATAAATTGAGAGGACCAATTAAACAAAAAGCAGGGTTTTTTTTTGTTTTGTTTTTTGTTTTTTTTGCAAAGACCAATAAATAGACACTGCTGGCAAGACTAATCAGAGAAAAGGAGGGAAGGCACAATTGAAGATATTAGGAATGAAAATGGGAACATAATTCCATATACAATTTTATACTTTTATTTTTTAATTTAGATTGAATGGACAATTTCCTGGGAAATATAATCTACAAAAACAAATTCAAAATATAGCCAAAAATCTGATCAACTTAGAACCATAAGGACATTTAACAAGATTTCTGAGATTTATCATCCCAGCCCCGCATGGCTTTATAGCAGAGCTCTGCTAGATGTTCGAGGTGTAGATGGTCCCGATATTATACAGACAATATGAAAGGGAGAGCACACCCCCTTTTGTATACAAATAACATGATTTTAGAACCAAAGCTGGAGGAGAACAGTATGAGAAGGGGAAATTAGTAGCCATTCTCACTTATGAACATAGAGGCAAAAAATAATATAGAAAATATTAGCAAATGAATCTAGCAATATCTTTACAAAATAATACAGAGGACAAAATGGGTTAATCCCAGCAACATAAGAAT